ATCTAAATCTAATGGGGTGAAGTACATACTACCATGTGTCCAGAAGGGAGAGAACCAGAAATATTTGGTGAACAGCACTACTGACAACCACAAGACTTTGTCCTCTTATTTTTCTTGTCAGGCAAAGTAGAAATGAATTTTGATATTGGCAGTGGGAAGGGGAAATCAGATGAGCATCTTCACCTGTCCATTCTTTTCCAACGTATGAAGAAATCTCCTTATAATAAAGATGGTCAAATGGCCTTCGTGCTGAAATGATGCCTCTTTTCTCAAGGGAGAGGCCAGTGGACACTCACTGTGTGCTCCTGGCTGCCTTGTACTGTGGAAGAGAACAGAGCCACCGTGAAGTTCTCCCTGAAGCTGCCTCAGCTCAGTGCTGTGCCTCACGGCATCACCATCTGAATAAGCCCTAAAAATCTCTTGTCTGTAACCTGGCTTCCACTCAAAGACTTGCAGGACTAATCTCGTCATAGCTTACATCTCTGTTTCCCTGAATCACCATCAGAAGTCCAAGCATCCTACAACATCTCTCCTCGCAGAGATGTTCATCCCCGTCCTGCTCTGTAACCCCACCTCTTCTCCTACCTCACCTCCATCCTCTGCCGTTTCCAGCCGTTGTCAGCCAACTCCCCACAGACGCTCCCACTACTCCTTCCCAGTAAACTTACTTTTCCCCTTTCTGAGATATCTACTTCATATACTCACTCTTTTTTATTCTCAAACATCACTCACATTTCAAAGAAAAGTTAGAAGAAATCAGATGAGAAACTGCCCATCTTTTCACCACCTAGTCCACTCACACCCACCTGCCTCTGTATCTACATGTCTCACCTTCACTCTTGTTAAAATGGATTAAGTGTCCACACATCAATCTGATGCCAACCCCAGGTGCCCTGAATCTCAATTCCTTTTTCCTCCTCAAGAACATTGTTTTAATTACCCATTTTCTGTCCTATATTGACAATCTCTGTCTCTACCAGACTGTTCCAGCAAGTAAGCATGCTTTTATGGCATCCATTAAAAAAACTTCCCTTGAGGGGCTGGCCCAGTGGCCAGCAGTTAAGTTTGCATGTTCCACTTTGGCAGCCCGGGGTTTGCCTGTTCGCATCCCGGGTGCAGACATATGCACCGCTCGTCAAGCCATGCTGTGGCAGGCGTCCCACATATAAATTAGAGGAAGATGGGCACGGATGTTAGCTCAGGGCCAGTCTTCCTCAGCAAAAAGAGGAGGATTGGTGGCAGATGTTAGCTCAGGGTTAATCTTCTTTCCCCCCAAAAAAACATCCCTTGACCCCATGCTTCATTCTAGCTGTTGTTCCATTTCCTTCTCTTCACTGCAAAACTCTGTGAAAGAAAGTTTTATAATTGTCTGCAGTTTTACATCCCATTCTCTACGTAACTTATTTCAATCATGCTTTTATTTTCATCATGCCACTAAAATGATTTTTACAAAGGCAAATGCTAACAATAATAATAGCTGACACCTACAGGGTGCCTACTATGAGGCAGGCAGTGTTTAGAAAGTATGTTTAACACATACTTTATATGTGCTAACACATTTAATCCCCTAACAACCCTATGAAGACGGTGCTGTTAATATCTCTCTTTTAGACATGAAAACTGCTACTCAGAGATATTAGGTAACTCGCCCAAGGTCATACAGCTGTTAGGAGGAGCTTGTATTTAAATCCAGCTACTGTGGTTTTAGCTAGCCCAAGCTTCTGTGCTCTCACTGCCATAACCCTGGTTCTTTTCCTGGTCAGGGAATCATACCACTTGTCTGTTGATTGTCATACTGTGGCAGCTGCATGTTGCTGTGATGCTGGAAGCTATGCCACCGCTATTTCAAACACCAGCAGGGTCACCCATGATGGACAGGTTTCAGCAGAGCTTCTAGACCAAGACAGACTAGGAAGAAGGACCTGGCCACACACTTGCAAAACACTTGGCCTTGAACGGCAGCAGAGCATTGTCTGATATAGCACCAGAAGGAGGGAAGATGGCATAAAAAGACCAGGCAGGGTACTGCTCTGCTGTGTACAGGGTCGCTTGGAGTCAGAATCGACTTCACGGCACCAAGAACAAACTGGTTTTGGAGTCCATGCTCTTAACCACTACGTCATATTGTCCTTTTAACTATCCTTGTCCTATTTCTGAGACAGTTATTTCTCCTCATTTATTGAAACTCTCGGCAGCCTGTGACTTAGCTGATTAATCCCTCCCTCTTGAAACATCTTCTTTCGTTTTCCATGCCTTCATCTCGTGTGCTTTTTGTCTTACCTCACTTAGTGCTGCTCATCAGTCTTTTTTCCTATTTCCTCCGCTCCAGATCTAGGTTTTGAACTGTTCTTTCTCTTCTTCTCTTCTCTACTGGCAACCTTTCCATGGTAATTTGCTTCAGTCTGTGGCTTTAAATATCACCTCTCAGCTGTGTGTATCTGCAGCCCAGATTTCTTCCCTAAGCTCTACTTCATAAATGTTGCTGCCTGATTTATATCTCCACTCCAGTGTCACATAAGGATCTCAAACTTAGCAGAGATAAAACACAACTACAGATATTCTAACCCAATTCTCCCTTTACCAAACTCTCCCAGACCTACCATGTCTACCTAAGCCATCAACTTCTAATTGCTCAGGACAAATTGAGGAGTAACCTTAATTCCCTTTTCCCTTGTAGCTCGCACTCAATCCATTAGCGAGTCAAATCAACTCTACGTGGAAATATCCCTAACCTGCTACTTCTCCCCAACTCTGCTGCTGTTGGTCTAGTCTAGGTTTCATCTTTTATCACCTGGACTCCTGCAACCTCTTCATAATTGGTCTCCCTGACTGCACTCTTGCTTTCTTCCGTCCATTCTCCAGACTAGCTTGAGTAACCTTCTAAAGCATCAATGAGGCGATACCATTTCCACCCAAAGGCTTTCCCTTGCGATGAGAATAAAATCCAGTCTCCTCACTGTGGCATACCAGCCCCTCACGATCCTCCTATATTTCTGACACATCTCCCTCGGCCTCTCAATTGTTCAACCACACTCTAGCCACACTGGCCATCTTGCTGTCTTGAGAACACACCACGCTTTTCCCCATTCCAGCATCTCATCATTTGCTGCCCCTTCTCTTTGGAACGTTCTTCTCTTCTTAGATCTTCATAATGGATGCTTCCTTCTTATCCTTCATATCATAATTCAAGTTACCTCCTCAGAGAGGTCTTCTCTGAGACTCTTGCTAAAATATGTATTCTCTCCCTGCTTAATTACTGTCAATCACATTACGCTACTGTATTTCTTTCAAGGAGCTTAAAAATCTAATATTGTCTTACTTGATCATTACTTAAGTATTTATTATTTGTTTTCCCCACAGGAATATGAGCCCTTTGAGAGCAGGGTCTATGTCCCTCTTACTCACTGTTGCATCCCCAGGGCTCAGAACCACACCTGATGTGTTGGATTGACTCAAAAGGTGGCTAAATACAGGAGAAAGCAGTATATTGACTTGAATAATATAACAAAGCATTCAATGAAATAAAACAAACCGAATCATCTTTAGCTAAGAAAATATTTTCCAGAGCACGAGAGGATAGGAATATAAGTCTGGATCTCGAGTTCTCAGCTTTTGTAGAGACAGCTTTATGTTTGAATCTAACACAGGGAAATCTCCATTTGTATCCAAAATGGCAGAAAAATCTTTGTGATTTTGGACGTGGTATTTGCTACTTGAAAGTCCTTTTGAGGATTACAAATCAAAGCTGTATGTCACACCTGAGTTTCTTGGTCTTACATGGAGGGATGAGATGGACAATATGTGTTATCTTCTCTCTCCTACAAGAAAAATCTAGACAAGATATAACTAAGTGTTACTACACAGTGGTGCCTCATCTCCAAGGGGAAGATGAATATAAACCCATGGTGTGCTGATCTCATTTATGACGGGTCGCAATATGTTTATAACATTAACTTCAGATATCCTACTTTTTCTATTTAAATTTCTGTTTTTATGTCAACTTTTATGTCAATCACATTTTAAAAATTTCTTAAAGCATAGTATTTCAGCATGTTTGATTTTTAAGCTGTTTTTATTTTTAGCAGTTGATACTTTTGCTTTATCATTTCACAGTAGGGTTAATATTTTGAAGAAGAAATGCTGAAAAAAAATAATGATGAAGGCAAACCAGAACTCTCTCATAATGTGATAAGTGAGGTCCAAAAATTTCAATCAACCAAAAAGCTCACCCTCGAGGTTCACTTACTGGGGGTTAACGAAGTGGGCAGGAGAGGCGCACAGCTTCTTAGACTGAGTTTCTAGGCTGGATATAAATCCATCCAAGTTCTGGCTGCAGTTGGGGCCATTTACTGGCAGTTGTCCCCTGAGGCAAGATCGGAAGGAATGATTTTTGGATCCTGAGATTGGCTAGAACTTTTGGGAAAATGGCGGCAACTTTGAGAATCATCCAGTTAGTTCGTTTCCAGGGAAATGGTGCAGAAGAATTCCTGAGGGGGTGTATTCCTCCCTTCTGCATTCTCACGTCCTGAAAAGAGGTTCCCTAACTGACCTTCCACTCACCCCGAGAGGAACATGACCTTTATCGAGCTCCACCCACTTTGAGACTTGGGCTCGTCTCGGCCCCTTTGCAGGGCACCTTGTCCAGGGCTTTACCTTAATTTGATTAATATTTTGAACAAAAATGTGTAAAAAATCATATGCAAATAAATATGTTTTTGATGGCACCACGTATTGCCTCTACATTTCAGAGGGTTCTAACAGCTCATTCTAATCTAGTCAGTAATTGTTCCTGCATCACCAAGCATTTACTGACAGAAATGGTCCTACCACATTTAGAAAAGAAATCAAATCTGCATTATGGAGTCAGCATCATTATACTTCTAGTTTCATGCATGGTGGATCTCTTATAGAGCTATATTTAATGTACTTCTAATTAAAAAGAGGGGCAAGTGTCCAAAGCTTTCTCAATGTTGTCTCATCTTTTGTTTTTGTTTGTGCAGCTCACCATGTTAAAACGGGCACTTGCGAGGTGGTGGCACTCCACAGATGCTGTAATAAGAACAAGATAGAAGAACGGTCACAAACAGTCAAGTGCTCCTGCTTCCCTGGGCAGGTGGCAGGCACCACACGAGCTGCTCCATCTTGTGTGGATGGTGCGACTTCTTCCATTGCTCATTACCATGGTGTGGCTGGGACTGCTTGGAACTGGAACCCCACTATAATGCTGGTGACTGGGGTCAATACTGGGAAAGCACCCTACAAATCGTGTGGTTGAGATGAGGTTATTTGGGAGGCATTTTGAAGTCTAAAATCCTTTGGAAGGAGGTCTAAGATCTTACGCAGTTTTGTTACAAAAGACGTTATAATGAGGTTCCAACAAGTCCATGTGCTTCTTACTTTGATACCATGAAATATTGATTTGCCAGCTGGGGGCGGGTGTGTGTGTGGTGTAAGTTAACTGGGAGAGGAAAGATAAAAATAGAGGATTAAATAGTATGGGTTTCCAAGCCTATGGATGGTTCTTAAGAATAAAAAAATAAACATCATACATATGAGTGAATGTTTGGTCGTGGATAGAATTTACATGAAATAGTGATTATATGCATCAAAATAAATTATTCGAGGGTGCATCTAATTACAATGGGATATTAATCTTTATATGAGTTTATTTAAGTGATGTTACTATAAGTAACAATTTGTTATGCTCATATTAGCATGGTGCATGCCTTGTGATAATGGTTACTGCCCACAGTAAGAGAAAACAGTGTTAATTCTAATTCCCTCCTGATTTTCAGCCTACTTATGGGAAATATAACATTTATTCTACAATATTGAATCTAAACTGGTCATGGGCTCATTTTCTTATATGTTGATGTAAATCAGTGCATGCACCTGTCCTCATAGTTTCTTTCTAATATATTAGTTTTAATGAAGCCTATATGTTCACATGAAAAATCCTTCAATGGTACCCTATAGTTAACAATACTGTATTGTACATTTAAAAATTGGTCAAGAGAGCAGATCTCTTATTAAGTATTCTTACCATAATAAAGTAAAATTTGAAATAAAAGAAAATCCTTTAGTCAGAAAATCTAGAAAGATTCAGCTCCTTTGGACAAAAAAGGAAGCATGCCTCAAAACTCAGTCTACCCCTGGTGGGAAGAATTGGTGGCATTTTTTCCTCTTTAATTGTGGACCAGAGAATTATCAAGCCCAAATGGAAAACATTGAATTGATTTTTCTGTCTCCTGTAGCTTCAATAGTGGAACAGAAATGGTGGTGCCATATGCAGCCGTGTCTTGAGGGAGAGGAATGTAAAGTTCTTCCGGATAGGAAAGGATGGAGCTGTTCCTCTGGGAATAAAGTGAAAACAACCAGGGTAAGTGGACAGCCGTCTTGTGAAAGCAAAGCGTCTCTGAATTAACAGAGCATAGGGCCTGTGCAGTGACATCTCTAAGTGGGGATTGTGCAATGAGATAGTATAATTTTCCATAGTCCATTTTTTTCCCATCTCATTTTTTTATAGTGCATTCTTATTTCACTCAGAATAACGTCTTCTATGGATTGCCATCAACTGTCATGTTATCTAATAAACACTGTTTATTCCTTCATGAGATACTAACAGAAATGTGAAGCCCCTCAACAATGTGTATCAAATGCTGGGAAGGTGATCTCAGCCCTTATTCTTCTGATGAGTAGTAATCTGAATAAATTCTCAAAAAAAGATTTTGTGTTATATACGACTATCAAATTTTCCAACTAAAATTCTCCCATTTTTCTGGAAGTAATTATTTTGATCTCCCTGATTTCTGGAGCAATAAATAGTTTTCTAATGGTTAAGTTTGCGGTCATTGCAATGGGTCACTCAGAGGAGTTTCTGAATCTTGGGGTCAATATGAAGAGAGTCCTCTTAAGACAATGATATATTTCAGCTTGCAATGACTGACTTCCAGGGAAGCAAAAAATAGTTAGCTTTATTTTTTGATTTCCTAACTAGCTCAATGGATATTCTGGACTGGCAGAATTTAAATACTTTTCTTTGTAGAATCAGCAAATGAAGCTTGTTTTGTTTTGCTTTTTCTCTGAGGGGAAAGCAGATTATTGACTAGAAGTGGATAATTGGGGACTAGAACAGAATATTGGTATATGGGGATGTTTTACAAAAAGGCAACGAACTAGAGATGGGTTAATTTATGATATTGTTTGATAATAGGAGGTTTCTTTTAAACCTTGTCTGGACACATTCAAGAGGATTATTTTATAATTCCATCAGATATATAATTTATTCTACTGAGTAATAACTGTTCAAACATACACAGAAGTAACCAGGTTTCTAATAGCACAAATAATAACTTTACATTTTTGTCAAATGATTCATGACTTTAACTTGTTAGCTAAATGCCGGCACACCTTTCTAAAATCCACAGCGTACCTGATTAGTTAATTAGAATAGTGCTATTATTCAGTTAGTTAGCACATGATATAATCCATATTGATTTCTTAAAAACATCTTGGCAATATAAAACTTCCTTATAAACTACTTATAGCATGAAATATTTTTTTCCTAACACTATTACTTCTTAGTCCAAAATAGCATTCAAGGAAATTCACTGCAGATTTGAGATTCTAAAACAATTTTTTAAAAAATAGCTCTCTAAAACAAAATTCTATGTTTTTATTACTTCAGTGGACATGAGGAAGCTAACATTTATTGGATACTTAAAACATATGTCCTATACTGAAGAAAGCATTTCATGTGAATTAGCTCATTTAATCCTTTTCATAGTCCAGTGAAGAAGATAATATTATTATGTCCTTTTTACAGATGAGTAAACCAAAGCTTCAGAATGTTAAGTGACTTCCCAAGGTCATATAGCTAGTTATTGGGGAAGTCAGGGTTCAAACCACACAGTCTCATTCCAGAACCTAATCTCTTAACCTCTAGTTTATACTAGATAATTTCACTTATTCTTAAGTAATGGTGATGGAAGTTTCTTATAGTACTGTTCATACGAGGTAGACCTTTAAAAATATCTTTAACTTTTTGGCTCATTGAAATGAAGAGGTCACGAGCATGATCTAACTTCTCATACTAAATTGTTTTGTAAGTGTTGCTTCACTCCTTGTTGGCCTTGTTGGGTCATGTTCTCAATGGTCCAACCTTAAAATTGAGTCTCTGCTTCATAAGTTCTTTGTAATGTAATGAAACAAGCTGGATGGAGACTGAGAGCTTTGAGTAGGGAAGACCACATCCGGATCCTCTAGTTTTAGTTACAAGGTGCCATGCGACATAGAGTGGAATGCACACCCTATTGTTTTTTCATCTCTTTTGTTCTGAGAACAGCTGTTAACAGAGGACCTCAGTGACGATTATTGTAGAGAGGATTCATACAACAGTAGGTGTTTGGATTAAATTACTTTTAAGATTCCTTCCAACTCTGAGAGTCTATAGTTCTCGTTTAAAAAGGGAAAATCATCATCATCATATATAAGAGAAGACAAGGGGGCTTAAAAGAAGGAGCTTCTTGAGTATAATCAAAGTAAATTTTTTTTTTCCTTCACAAGAGAAAATATTGCTGGTGAAAATGAAACAACTTAGACATTTTCAACTAAAGGACCATCATGGCATTCCAAAGGGCTAGGCAAAAAGATGTGCAATTATGGATGTTAGTTTGACTCACAAAACAATCTAGGTAAATTTCTCCAAGGCCATAAAAAAGCAAAGTCTCCAAATTCATCAGGTCATTATTGTTCTGCCATCTCCATGGAAATAGTGCAAAAAGTATAGGAAATAAGAAAACTTCTTGAAATAGCTCTGGCACAATGTTACTTTGCCCACAGTGGAAGTGTTGGACAGAGGTGCTTTCTGCCATAAGAAATAGCAGCAATATTATTGAGAGAAACCTGATCATTATTTTAATCACTGGTAGTATTTTCTACTTGCCAGTCTTGAATAAGCTAGCCGTGGCCCTGGGGACCTCAGCTGCCACTGAAGCCCTGATTTGGTGGGGCCCAGCCACAAACTAGAGAATCCAGAAGTTAAGCAGGAATAGGTTACAAAGTAACTGAAGAGCTGCTCTCAGCCAAAAGCCCTTTGTGTTTCTTATGCAAGATATGTTGGTCTTACGGGATTATCACTGCAAGCAAAATGGCCCGAGAAATGATTAAAATTTGCAATAATGTACATCCTCCCTTATAATTGCCCATATCCAATCTGGAGTGCTCTGGTAAGTCTAATGTTAGAAAAAAAGCAGTCAGCCAAAAACAGCAATGAGGCTTGCCTGGCCTCAGCAGAGATGTGTGGTACCTTCCAGAATTGACTACAGAGCAGGGGCTGGGTCAAGTCCTCATTTAAGACTAATTTGGAACTTACATAGTCCTTCCTACTATAAATGTGCATTATATCCTCTTCTGTCTGTGTACTAGATTCAGGAAGCTTATTGTTCTGACCCATTCCTTTTTTGTCCTACCAAGGGGAAAAGGCAAAGAGTAGAGAGTCCTTGTTGGAACATCAATATTTTACAGACGTGTTCTGCAAAACCCCAAACATTTAATCTGGAGAGAAAGGATGATGCAACATTTGTTTCCGGAACTCTATTTCTCACTCTAAAGATGGAAACCTATGACTGTTTGTGACATCCATAACCACCTATTGTATTACTTTTAAGAACTCCTAAGTTAAAAAGAAAGGAAAAGTCATGAAAGCCTTTGATTTCAAACTCACTTTCAAAGATAAATAGCAAAGAATTTTTCAAAGAGTCGTTAATAAAATCATAGTCTTTCCAGTGTGAAAGAACACATAATTATATGCTAATTATCTAACACAAAAGTAGCAAGGGGAAAGGTGCTGTAAGGCTTGTAAGATTTGAGAAAAAAAATCTTTGATAACATAGTTGGAATCCTCAGAAAAAATAGACTGTGATTCATTTCTTTTAATGTTTTGATGTTCTCTCTCTGAGGAACAACTCCTAAGGGAAGTCACATTCTGCTTTTAGGATTTACAGCCCCTGGCCAATGGTATGGACTCCAACGGACATTGCAGCCCTCATGTCTTACCTAAGGAAAAATGAACTTAACTTCGTATTATACAAGATTTTATATTTTTATTAGATGCATTATCTTTAGGAATCATGAATCCCAGGTCTATTTACTTTTTATATGCTTAAGAAGAAATTTTCTGGGCAGTTTTTAACTAATTGGAATTCTTTCATCTTGGCTTATTTACTTAAAGTGTCTTACGCAGATAAGAACTCTGTAATTTTTTAATGTCCTTTCATATATAAAGGGATTTTAAGGGTAGGAATATTTTATTTCAGTGTACAATGCAATGTAAATCAACAAATATTAAGAATATCTTGTGCATAAACATTCTATAATAATGAAACTCATATTACAATCAAAGCAACAAAAGCAAATATGAAAGCATTTACTTAGCTCTTACAGTGTATTGGGTGCTCTGCTAAGAGCATTGCAGGTATTATCTTATTTAATTTCCCCAACCACATTAGGCACTAACAAAGGTACAAAGATGTATGGCATGATCCCTGCCCACCAGGAGTGTGCCCTTGAGTGGGGAAATGAATAGTTACAGCATTATTCTTTTCTTTATCCATATGTAGTCCATTGACAATAAACATTGGCATTACTGGTATATATAAGCCAAGAGCAACTTTGTTGTAATACTGGAGATGGCATAAGCCTTTAGGTCAGCTTCCTCATCCGCAAATAAATGAGAATGCTGAGCTACATTCAATTTCAAGTTCCTCTAACCAATATTTATTCTTTGGTTCCCTGTGCCAAGGACATTTCTAACTTCCTTTCCAGCTAAATTTAAATGACATTAATAACTGGCTAATCTCAGAAGATAGATAAGGATTAGGTCTTTAATCCTTTCCCGGCAAGGGAGAAAAGAAATAGCATCTTATGATGCTTTGCTGACTAAAGCCTCAAGTCATCCCCTTCCAGATGTGGATTTTATACCAAAACTCAGTGACTGTACTCTGTTGGTGGGTCTGAACGGTGTCCAGGGGTGCTATTTCAGGGCCAAGGCAGAGGAAGAACACAGCAAGAGGAAAAAGGTTCATTTCCTCCCCTTAAGGTGCTGCAATTTGTGTGAGTTCTTCAATCACCGTGCTCTCTCTTGCCTTGCAAATTTAATCTCAGACTCAGGATACTGTAGTCCTCCTTGACCAGCCATTCTTCACAGACACATTCCACATTCATTTGTCTTCATTTCACCTCAGGTCAGGCCCTAAATTGTACCCTGGTCCACAGCACAGAGTATGATGATCTTTAGGGCTGTGGTTTTCAAGTTATTTTGATGGTACCTAGAGTAAGAAATACATCTTACATTGTGATCCAGCATACACGCAACACACA